TGCTATTCTCCTGATTCCGATCCTAAACATGGGGATGATACTGAGGTAATTATTACATTCCTCGATAATTGTTTCAATTATTATTATTCTAAAAAAAATAATTAATTCTTTTTTAGTGGTCTGAAATCCTTGAAAAAGTTTCTCTTGACCCGAGTTCTCAACATTATTTCTCCATTCAACCAGGTCGTACGTTTACTCATGTAAGACTTAATATTTACCCAGATGGTGGAAGGATTATGACGCCGGGTTTCCCAGCCATCGTACCATGCACCACGTTCTAATGTTAGAAGTATATACAACTATTATTATTTTATAATACCAATATATCGAATGAGTGACACCAAGGAGAAACCAAAATTCAGACTTTATTATTTATTCTTTACCAGGCTTAGGGACATATGATACATAAATAAATTTAATTACGCATCATATAAGTCTCAGGTCAGGGCTGAATCCGATAAATAATAAATAATAATAATAAATTTGAAGCCAGGATTCTGGTTTCCTCTTTTCGTCACTCGAATAAAATATAATAATAATACCAGTAAATTTGTGAGGATCTTTAACAGGTTTAGTAGGTTTCAATAAATTCGCGGCTTCGACGAAAAATTCATCAGAAACATCTATTATGCGTCCCCCAAGAGTGTTACTTGCCAAATCTATGATAATAACAGATTATATTGGTAAATTTTGGATGATAGTACATTGATATATATTTATAGTGATATCGATATTAGTATACCAATAAATTTTTTAACAAGAACTTCGTGGCCTTCGACGAGAGAATGTCTAATAACAGAATTTTTATTAAAAGTAGAAGACATTTTTTTTTTCAAAAATTTTCTACAAAAATTTACAAGTACTATCTACCAGTCTTAAATATCAATACGATATCATTTTAATCAATTTATATACTTTATATACAGTACATATAAGTTTAATGATTGGTGATATCAGATATGTAAAATTTTGGTGGACGAAACTTTGATAACTTACGAAAATGATCCGGATTATTTTTTTTACGAAGGGGTTACTTTTTATCGTTATAGATTCCGACTATTCCGATTACCATGTAAAGTAATGCAGTGCTCTTATCAAAGGGATCCTTTAACTGTTCGTCATTGATGAATATAATCATATGATATCATCAGTTTTTTTTATATGGTATATTCTTTAAGTTTTTGATTACCGTGAGAAACTCTAATCATAGTCTAGTAAAATATATTATCTTCAATAATAAGTTGCTTTCTTTTTTTAAAAGAAAAATATAAAACTTCTTATATCTAAAAATAAACTACTTATATAATT